CCTCGCTCCTATCCCCTGCCCTGCAAATCACGGAGGAGTGGGGAGGAGCGGGCAGGGGGAGCACTGCACCCCTGTGATTTCCAGGTCACATAACCCACCAGGGCTGCCCGGCTCCTTCAGCCCCATGCATCCAGTGCTATCACTAGCCACCTTACACAGCAATAACCAGATCACCCTTCTCCTCTTCAGGAAACGTGCAGACACCTAATTCTCAGCAAACGTGAATGAACAGCCTTGGAATGTTTAATTGAACAATTCTTGAATTTGAAACACAAATCCACAAGTATTTCACTCCCAGGACCTTGTAAACCATTGGGATTTTGGCCCCGCTTTCATTGCACTTGTCCCCATCTCTTCTTTTCCCAAGGGCTGTCCTCCCCAGGGGGAGAAGCTCAGAGGAGAACAGGGGTGTAGCACAGCCGGGAGCAGTGTCTGGTAATGATTTGGGCTCAGGGTGAGGCACGGTGCTGGTGGAGCCAACAGGGCTGCGGGCTCCCACAGGTAGCACCAGGAGGGCCAGACCGGGATGCCAGTGCCTTTTGATTTGTGTGCTTCTTCCCCCGTGATTCACACGTGTGGGTGGCCTGTTATTTTCCTGCTTTATGGGATTTTCAGCCCTGGGGAAGAACTGGAGCCCTTGCCGGAGCCATCGCCTGTCTGGCTCCCCAGGCTGGCACAGGGCTCTTGCGTGGCAAGGAGGGCACCCCGAGAAACCGCGGCGAGCCCCTGCCCTGCGGTCAGTCCGTGGGTGCTTGGGGTGGGATGTCCTCTCGGTGGTGCCCTCTCCTGCCTCTTATCCCGGCCATGAAACCACTTTCTCTCCCCTTCCTAAAGCCTAAGAGCAGGTCCCCTCTCTGCTTTGGTGGGAAATTGTGTTGCAATGCCCTCGTGGGCAAGGAAGGAGATTTTTATTGGCGAACAAGTCCCATCTCAGTCTGCCATGCCTGCAGGCTCCCAGCTCCAGGGGCCCTGTCTCCAGCTGGCTGGCTCCAGACACATGTCCCCAAGGGCTCTGGCCAGGAGTCCTTGCCTCGGCGAGAACGATGAGGGACGCTGCCTGTTGAGGCCAGCTAGGACTCCTGGCATTGCCCTCAGCTTGGTGCCCGGGTGCTGGGGTGGGATACACCTTTTGCAGCCCAGCAAAGGTGCTGGCAGTGGATCTGTCTCTTCATCCCGTCCCACTGCTGTGAGTCACCAGGATTTTTGTCTTCTCATCTGGATGTGCAGAGAAGCCACAGATAGATGTGCTGGAATTGTGCAGACCCAGCAATCATCCAGCCACCACCAATCCCTCCATCCCTATCACCAGCCCTATGCCGCCTGGGGCTTCCACTCCTGATGGTCCCATTTGCTTGCTACTCACACCAGTCTTCCCTTTTCCATGACAACTCTCTATGCCTCTCCACTTGCTCCAACACAAACCATGACTTCATCCCTCCTCCCCACCGCCTCCATCCCCAGGGGGGCTGTCCTGGTTTTGGTTGGGATAGAGTTAATTTTCTTCCTAGGAGCTGGTACAGTGGTTAAACCATGACAGGGGCAAAGTACCCACCACCGTACGAAATGCTCACTGGCTGCTTCTGTTGGCTTCCCCAAACAGGCAAATGCAGAGAAACCTGAGCAAGCCCATTTGCCACATGTGGTGGTGCAGGTTGGGGTGTCCCCATGGTTACACACACCCCAAAGAAGAGATTGACACCCCCATGGATGTGACCCTGCAATGGGGAGCTACCACCATGACCTTCCCAGGCCTTGTTGAGCTGGAGTACCCCACCACAATTCGTGCACTGTAATTTGTACTGGTGCAGTTGACTTCACCAAAGCAAAGGATAGAAGAAAGAAAACGAAGGGAAATAGGGGTCTCCAGGAAGCAATGGCTGCTGCGGGAGGAGGATGCTGAGTGACAGCAGGGAGAAGGTTTCCTCCAAGGACATGAGCAGGTGAGGGAAGATGGGAGGTGAGCAGAAGACATGAAACTCAACAGATACAGGCATGGGCAAAGGGTTGCTTTTGGGCTAAGCTCCAGGCTTTTCTGAGAAATGCTTCTGCTGCTGCAGTTGAAAGCCATGAGTGGGCAATGCTGGGACCAAACCCCAGGACCCAGCTATTTCCTTCCGTGTGTATCCTTCCACACGCTAAGCATTATTTTTCATCTCAGTCTTGATATGTAATTCCCTGTTTCTCACCAGGGCCTTTGACTGCACTGTCTTTGCAGGAACCTGTATTTTAGGGCCTGATCAGCAGGTCTGTGAGGTCCTGCCCTGAGCAAGCACTGGCTGGGGGGGATATGTAGCAGAGTGAATTCAGGACAGCTCTTGAGCTGGGAGCCAAGACAGCATGGCTCCCAGCTGAGAGTCACAGCACCCGTGGGAGACAGGGTACCAGGTCCCTTGGAACAGGGATCCCTGCAGGGCACCAAGGTCCTCACTTCCCCAACTTTGTCTGCACCAAGACATCACAATTTTCAAGTCAAATCAAGGACCTGTGTGGATTTTAGTCTCCTTTGAGACACTGGCTCTTCAGAAAAAAAATCTGTATAACCTCAACAGTGGAGTCATTCAGTGAAAAGCCACGTAATAATGTCATTATTCTGTCCCCCTGCTCCATCCTGGACTGTCCTATGCAACAGACTGGTAGAAGACAGTTGCACCAGCTCCAGACGCCTACAGCTTTCTAACAAAGCTTTTGCTGGAAATCCAGTGCTTTTCCTCATTGCAGCATTCAGGAGAACTTTGCGTCCCATCTCTGCGGACAATTTCTGGAGCTGGGGTAAAAATATCTGTGCAGTTCTTAGAAGAGGGACATGAAACCACTCCTCTCTTCTCCTGGTGCTCTGACTGCTGAGCAATTGCCACGTAAGTTTTCTCCAAATTAGGAGCATCTCTGTGAAGATCTCCTGAGCAATAAAACCAGGTCAAAGGCTTTTGAAGACCAGCATGTTTACAAGCTCAGCATAATCCCTCATTATAAACACTCATAAGCTTTATGCAAATTGTCACACTACCAAAATGCTTAAAGTATGAAAGAAGATTTAAACAATACCCATGGAGGACTTAGTCACACTCTTATTCCTCCTTCCATCAGCTGAAAAGTTTCTGTTTGATGATACTTGGCATCTTAAAAAGAGGCTTTACTCAATGCCTGGCATCTCTTTCCCAGAGACATCTGCATCCCCTCCCTGTAAAACAATTATTGTCCAATTCTCTAATGTGTTCAAATAAATCTTGGGTCCTAGTCTTTGGGAAGAGCTCAGTGTGGAGCTCACTGTGCTGTGGCTGGGGCCAGGGATGGGGTTATCCTTGTCCTCCTCTAACTGACCAGCTCATGGGCACAGGACTTGCAGATCTCTCCACTCAGCAGCAGAGCAAAGCTCCCTGCTGAGCACCAGTCCAGCTTTTGCTCTTGCCTCTGTATCTGGAGCACACAGGGAAATTATAATTTTTTCTTTACGTCCTTATTATTACATTTATATATCTTTCCTGATAGCATTACCACAGGTCTCAGTGTCCATCACGCTTGCTGTCTATGAGAAATGTCAGGATGCCTCTCCCCACGACACCTCTGATCAATCAGTGCTCAGTCACTGGTCTCAGCAAATTTGGGCTCCCAAACGTCTGTGTGTCCAGAGGAAACCTGGGGTAACCCTGCACCATGTTTCACATCGCAGGCAGCCCTCTTTCTCTGATGGGGCAGGGGATGCTACTGCGGGCATGGGCTACTGGACAAGGTGCACCCATATCCAGGGGGGGAATGTCATACTGAGCTAGCATGGGGACACGGGTATATTCAGCTCATATTACTCATAGTGCTCACTCGAGGCAAATGTCGTGCCTGCACATATGCATGTCTATGCGTGCATTCAGCAGCACAGAACAAAACGTTTTTGCTGCTTCGCTAAGAGTTACAGCCAGATGCAGACACATCACACGCCTCACTGGCACCTGGGCTATCTAGGTTTGAGTCAGTACATACTTGTTTGTATAAGGCCCCTTTTGCCACATGCTGTTGTGAAGAGTAAGAATAAAGAGCCTAATGCTTAAGGTCTGTTTTTGCCCTGGTATATCTTGGGAATTTTTTACTCTTCATCATCACCCATAAAACATTGGGTGTGTTAGATGTAGGATGACCATCCAAAAGAGCATCTCTCAAGAAGCCCGCTTCTGCCTTTTTTCCCTGACCCCACATCCATCCTCCTTAGCTCACCCAAAAAATTGTGCAAAATGCAGGGTAAATGCCATTTTGAAATGTCAAACCTTCATGTTCCCACCTCCTCGAGGGAACAGGCAACAAGTCTGCTCCTGCGGGAAGTCATCCCTAAGCAGGTGCTTGCTATGGGGCAGCAGGAGGGGTTTCCAGGCTGAGAAACTGTTGTCTTCGGGCTGGTCACAGCAAACTACACACTTACTTCAGCCCAGTATGGAGCTGAGCAGCAGAAACTCCCATTTCAGACAAAGGAAACCTCCCCCAGCAACAAGTTGCCTCCAGAGCAGGCTACCCCTCCAGACCAGAGGCACAAGGAACACCAGAAGACTCAAACTATGATGTAGCATGACTTTAATGAGAAGGAGAAGGAGAATAAACCAGTTCAGAGTATGAGAAGTGCATTTCCAGCGCTCGGTAAAGAAATGGGTAAGCCCCACTCCAGGACAAGCCGATCCCTACCAGGTGTTCCTCTGCCCCACCGCCCCGTGACTATCATCTTCTGTCTACAGCCTGCTATAAGCATTTTTGCCCAGCCAGCAGCAAATGCTGTGTAGCACTGCAGGGTGTGGAAATACAAAGTAAGGCTTAGCAAGAGAGAGGTATACAGAGGCACAGTCTCAAGTGACAAGCTCGCATGGCTCCCTTCCTCCTGGGGGGGCTGCAGGTGCACCCCACAGCCAGGAAACCCACAGACATTTCCTTAGTCCTCTTCCCCAGTCTTGGTCCTGTGCTTCATTTGTCCTTCCCGACATGGCCGCTCTGCTGGCATTGGCAGGAGGTGACCGCTGGGGACACCCCTACAGCCCACTGCCCAGGCACAGCAGTCCCACCTTCCCCAGCCCCCGGGGACCACTGGAGGCCACGGGGACCCCACAGCACCGGAGGTAGCTCCCGACAGGGGCACCCCAGCACAGGGGTTACCTCCCAACAACCACCGATTCCGTGGGCCCCCCTGTCGTGTTTTGCAGAGGTGAGGATGGGCCCAGGCCAGGACTGTCGTGTTTTGCAGGTAGGAGGTGAGGATGGGCCCAGGCAGGGTGACCACGACGGTGGGGGGCTGGATGACAGTGGCGGAGTCCACGCAGCGGCGGAAGCAGGGCTGGTTGCAGCTGGTGGCCAGTGGCCGGGGGCTGCAGGAGGAGGGCAGGCACAGGTCATAGCAGGACATCGCTCGGCGAAGACGTACACCTGAAAGCCAGAGCCAGGGTGTAAATGCAAAGCAGAGGCTGGGCCACCCCTGCTGAGCCCTCATTCAGTGGCTCCCATAATAAGAGGTGTGGGAGAGCTAGCTAGAGGGTGAGTTTGGATGGTTTAGAAACCCCGAAGGATGCCTTTCCAAACGGACAGGAGCCGGCTTCCCCCTTCCCTCACCCCGTAACCTGCTCGGAAGAAAGCAAGGAGTTTGGTTTGAGCTGTACGGCTGGGGGAGCTGGAGGCACCAGGTGCTGAAAGTGCTGAGAGCAGACCCACTCCTGCACACTGCCTGCCTTCAAGCTGACAGCAAGCCTTCAGCAAGCAAAATGCTCACTGAGATGCATCTAGTTGTAGCAAAACCCACTTAAATCAATACAACGTGAGTGAGCTGGACTTAACATGAGCTAAGCTATCCCATCCCAAAATATAAGGGACCTCTGATGCCCTGCCATAAACGGGGACTCATCAATCCCTGCAACCTGGGCATGTGCTGTTCTTTTTTTTCTTCAGCAAGGACAACCATGCAGGATGCACCTGCCTATGTGGATCCTGCAAGCCCTGCATCCCACAACCCCTTGCACTCCTCATTTTGGAGCAGAAATAAACGCTTCCCCAACATCCTCTGTAGGCAGGAGGGAGGCAGGTAACAAACCTTGAACTCTTGTAGAGGACCAGGCACAAGGCATCGGTGAAAGCAACAGCTCAGCAGGGAGGAGACGGAGCCCGTCTCGACTTACCCAGATGGAGGTGGCAGCGGCAGCTGGGAGCAGGTGGTGGGGCCGGGCACCGTGCAGTGTTTTATAGGGTGCCCTGGCCCCTGGGGGAACAGGTGCATACCTTCCGCCTGAAACTCAACAACTGGCAGTTTTCTCCTGGAAAGCTCCCCCAGCTGATTAAACAGTTCCCTCTTTCATCTGTCATGTTTTGCTTCCATTTAATACTGAGTAAGATTGAAATGATTTGGGCTACAGGCATTAATTACCTTGCTTCCTAAGGCCAAAGTACCTTTTAGGTATTATGCCACCTGGCCAGGGGAGTGTTTCAGCAGAATTTAGGGCAGGCGCATCCCCGGTGCATCGCTCCCCACCTTCCTCCGAGCACAACCAATTCAGCTCCCCAGTGCACCTGTGGTGAGCTCAGGGATGTAGGCTGAACACAAGAAACATGTATTTGTAGGTAAACCCTGTGACATCGACAGCAGGAAAACCAGGGGGGCTGCAGGGGTGAGGATGCTGGGGGACCACGCACGGCTGGGAGAAAAATGCCAGAGGGCATTTCTCCTGCCCCAGCTGCCCAGGTACTACAGATGCAGACATGGGGACTTGAGCTAGCCTGGCATGAGCAAACTGTTATGCTTTTGGATCCACTTAGAGGATTTTGCCTTTTTTTGTTATTATTCCTCACACCTGGGATATGAATTCTGCTTGGAAGGCACATCAAATTTTAAAAGCAAAGTAATCATGGGCTCTGGAGTCCACTTCTGAAGAAGATGCACACCAAAACTGACTGATTTTGTGCAGTGAGCTGATTTCCAAGGGCAAGAGCCTTTCCATCCTGCTTTTTGGATATGCTACCAGCAGTGAGCCAGAAGTTCACAGCTATACTTCCTTGTGATGGAATGACATCATGAAGACATTTTTAATTACGGGCTGCGGCGTTTCTTCCCCTTCACTAATCATCTTCCCTCTCTTTTTTTTTGTGCCTCTGTGGACTCCCATGATCCCAGGGAAAACATCCCTTCCTGGGGGACTCCCTTCCAGGCTTCCAGATAGAGGCTAGGATCTTCTGATTTGCAGCCTCACTGTGTGTTTCAGTTTTGCAACCCAGTTTAAGTACTTGAGGTTCTGCTCACATTGGACCATCGTGTCCCAGAAGAGTATCCACAGATGCAGCGATGCTTTGAAATAAATGCACGGGGGCAATTAGAGAGGGCATGTTGCTGAATGTGAGCGGATCTGTGTACTGAAACAAGTCCTTTGCCTGGAGAAGGGGACAGGGGAAACAAAAGGCACGTGTCAGGAGGTTAAAATAATCAGATTTGTGTAATGAATGAGATTAAAACAAAGGAAAACCATAGGGGAAAGAGCTCTTCCTGGAAATGCAGGTATTTGGGAGAAAGACGACGACTCGTTTTTCTGACCCATATTCATTTCAGGGAATGAGTACTTTCTACTTAAGACATGGCTTTCTCTGGAGGAACCACAAAACCGAGAAAATTTCACCAAACCAAACACGTCAGACCCATTTTCTTAACTTCTGCACATCCTGGATCCAGGATGTGTGGCCATCTCAGCCCTGGTTCTTCCTGCAGGTAAGGGCACAAAGAGAAACATGGCCCTGGACCAATACTCACTGTGTTTCCCTTTGCATCACCAGCCCCAGCAGCACTTTGCAACTCCAATTTCACTGCTCTGCATTTTGATTTCCAACAACACAAGGGCTAGATGTCTCTGAGACCGGCTGGAGGGTGGAAGCTTGCCCCTGCCTCAAAATTTCTCCTGAAAGCCAAAGGCAAAGGCACATTTTGGAGCAGCAACAGACCCACTGCATCCCATCTCCAAGGAACACCTGCATCCAGTGCTCTCGTCCAGGGCTTGCCCCGGCACCATAGCGAGTATGACATGTGGGGACCGCTCCCAGGCAGCTGATGGGCAAGCCGGACACCCCAGTGCCAGGAGGCAGCATCCTGACGCAGACAGACCCACCTGGGCAGCTGCCCCTCCACCACAGCCATGGAGCATCCTTGGCTGCCTGTGTCCTTGCCAGGGCAGACTTGGGGTGTTTCAGGGCCACTGTGTGCAGCCTGGGGAGCGGAGCACAGCTGGTGCCACTGGGGAGATCCAGGCTCTAGCTGCCATGTGCCACCCCGGGGCTGCAGATGATCCAGTTTCATGCCGCCACACGTCCCCTATAATTGCCGGGTCCCCAGGTGGGCTGATGCTCCACAGTGACACCGAGGCTGGCATGTCCCCCCCCAGGAGGCCTCGTCACTGTGTGCCAGGGCAGGGGCAGGAGTGTGCCGGGGCGGACACAGCCCAGCAGGGTTGAAGGGTGTCCCAAGGGAGTCAGCTTGTCTCCTCTCCCGGCTGCCTCTGCCCTGCAAGCCCCCAGGTCCCATCCTGCTGCAGCAGCCCCCATGCCCAAGGAGGAGCCTGCACCCACTACCCCTTCCTATTTCACCACCTCCAGCTGCAAGTTGGTGTTTCTCCAGGGCTGTAACCCCTGTGCACCGAAACCCATACCTTTTCCCCAAGAAATCTCGCGCATCCCTCTTGCAGGGTGCCTGGCTGTCCAGGCATGGACATCCCCCTTTCCCAGGCCAGCAGAGCTGGCCAAGCACTGCAGCATCCCACAGCAGCGGGACGGAACGGGGCCAGTGTTTCCCTGCAGCCCAATCACTGTTTCTGGCTCAGGAGAGGGAAGCAGCTCCCAGCTGGTCCCTAGGGGCATCTCCCCAACGCATGGGAAGGAAACATGGCCCCAGGGAAGGTCGAAAAGCCAGCGCAGGGCTTGCAGCATAGGCAGCTAAGCCTGAGCTTCCTCGCCTTGCCTCCAAGCCACAGCATTGCTTGACCACATCCTCATCCATGGAAAGAAGGGGTGGGAGCAGGGAAGGCACCTGCAAGGCTGGTACAACATGTTTCCCCAGCTGCGTCAAAGCACAGACATGCTCTGAGAAATGCAAGGCTTCCCCCTCTGCAAGACTGCCGGGATTTCAGCAGTTAAAAACCTCCCAGCAGGCAAGTCTTTTTACCTCTTTCCTCTTCATCTTGCTCACCCTCTCCTTTCCCCAGGAACCTCCCCTGCAAGCACTGCTGCAGACACAGGAGGGAGCTGCCAACACACAGCAGCTATGCCATCCTCAAAAAAGCACCTCTAGGACGTTGCGATGGCTCAGCAAGGCACAGCTTTGTCCAGGGTTGGCTTTTGGCTCCATTGGCGTCATACAGATGCTCAGGGCTTGCGTAGGAGATGCAGAAAGGAATAAATTGGCTGACAGAGCAGAAGGGAAAAAAGCAGTGTCCAGGCTCAGGGTGTGCCCACACCACTGCCCAGCCAGTACGGCCAGCCTGTTGCTGATCTTCCCTGCCCATGGTTTGGTGCTTTGCCTCCCAGAGAAGATGTAGTTGGCTCGCAGGAGGGTGACCGGCGGGTGGGCTTGGGGAATAGAGGGGTACAGTACCCTGCTCCTGCACAGGAGTTTGGGGCCCAGCACATTGCACAGAAGGGCAACGCAGGTCCCTGAGTAACCAGGAGCAGCTTCAGCAATTGGGAGCAGCAATCCAGAGGCAATAAGACATGTATTTAACATGAATGACCAAAAGAGAGAGAGGCAAGAGGAAGCTGGCCACACCGGGGGCTGCACCAAAAGCTTCCCCCTGGGTGGGGGTCCCCAGGGCTCCGACGAGGGTGGGATTTGAACCCACGCGTGCAGAGCACAATGGATTAGCAGTCCATCGCCTTCACCACTCGGCCACCTCGTCCCCTGCTCCAACCCCTTTTTTGGGGATTTTTTTCTCCTTTTTGATCAAAGGCTGCAAACCTGTGGCTGGTTCTTCAGGGTGTCCTCTGGGGAGCCAGGACGGGCAGGCAGAGCCATGGCAGCCCATCTGCTGGGTCGTGGCAGCCAGCTGCCCACCTGCCTGTTGCAGGCCAGCTGGGCAGGGCAGCAAGCAGGTATTTGCAATTCATTTGCCCCTCTCCATACTCAATTTGGGTAAAACAATTGGGGAAACAATTTGGATTGTTTCCCAAATCCCCTGGGGTCTGGAGATAGTTTGGGATATCTTCTCCACTGTGAGCTCCCCAGGGAGAGAGGGCAGAATGAAATTTCTTGCCCCCAGAATGGGGTCGCCTGGGACAGGGGTAGGGGGCTCCACTGCTCAAAGCAGGGCAGAGACCCCCCAGCAATGCCCTCAGCTTGGGGCAGGGAGGAAAAACAACCCTCAGCCCAGGCACCACTGGGAGTCGAAC